CACTCAGCATAATACCTCCAGTTCCAATCACCTTGAAGCAAATGGTGGGTATTTGTCTTTCCTGATATATATATGCACATATATATGCACACATATATGCATATGCACACATATTATATATATGTATATAAAATCAGATCATCTTTATCCATTCATCTGTTGAAGGACGTCGTGGCTCTTTCCAGCTTGGCTATTGTGGACATTGCTGCTGAGTATTGGGGTGCAGGGTCCCCATGTTTCACTACATCAGTATCTTTGGGGTAAATACCCAGTAGTGCCATTGCTGGGTCCAGGGGTAGCTCTATTTTTTACTGTTTGAGGAACCTCCACACTGTTTTTCCAGAGTGGCTGTACCAATTCGCATTCCCACCAACAGTGCAAGAGGGTTCCCCTTTCTCCAATCCTCTCCAACATTCGTCTTTTCCGGTCTTATTAATTTTCGCCATTCTCACTGGTGTGAGGTGGTATCTTATCGTCGTATTGATTTCTATTTCCCTGATGGCAAGTGATGTGGAGCATATTCTCATGTGCTTGTTGGCCATGAGTTTGTCTTCATTGGAGAAATTTCTGTTCACATTGAAGTGCACCTTTTAAATCATGTATTTTCTTTGTGAGGTATATCTCAATGGGAAAAAAAATGCTATTATATATACTTGAAAATCCACCATAACTGCTGAGCAGTAAATGGATTGTGTTGGGCAGGAATAGTGGAGGCCATTAGGCAGAGGACCGGAAGGCAGCAAGCGTGATGAAATTCACACATTGAGAACTGTTAGATCTTTGATTCCGAATTCCATGTATCTCTAAGCTGTATCGTTTGGCATCATGAAAGGGGTATAAATTTAGCCATTTAGGTGCCCTCTCCTGCTGTCTAGCTCCAGAAATACTCAGGCCATATTTTCTGAGGCCATTTGTCTGTTGAGTCCTCAACCACTAGAGCTGCTGTTTGGAGGCAATTGCCGCATACTGGGGAAAACTCATTCCTTCTCTGTACCAGAACAATCAACATAAAGATCTACTGTTGGAAGACCGGATGGGCGAAGGCCAGTGAAGTGTTTTGGCCTCAGAAATTGAGATACTTTTTAGGAGAAGACCTTCTTGCACTCTCAAGGCATGTAAAGTTTTTTTAGTTTTAGTGAAGGATTACATAGGACTGCTTTGTTTGATTACCAGGAATTTTCTTCTCCTGGTTTCTTTCAAGGGCCCCCATCTGAGTGGTTAAAATATATATATATCTTGGTGGGAGCATCAAGGATGCTCTAGGGATGTTGATCATTAAGTGCTATTTCTAAGTCCTCTTTGGTGGTAGAGAAATATTTTGTTATGGGTAGAGGATAGAGACTATACAATTAAAATGGGATACATAAAATGCTCATGGTAGATGTGCTGAGGGCTAGAGTTTAGAAAAAAAAAACAAATTGTTTTTTTTTTTTTTTTGAAAAAAAACAATTTGGTTTTCAAGGTTTGTTTTTTTTTTTTCTTCCTGCAAAGGAACTCTTAGTTTAGAATTATGGAGAAAACATTGTAATAGTGCACCCTTGTAATCTTTTCCAGGATCTAGGCTGCACAAAACAAAGTTAAAAAGCAAAAACAGGCTTTGGGAGCCTCCACAGTAGGGATCTGATGCACAGAGCACAGGCCATCATCCTTGGCACCATCCCTCACCATTTCTAGTTTTCAAAATATTATGGCCACTGGCCCCAAAGATAAGCAGCTTGCTGTATGCTATGTCCTTTGCTTTCTCCCATTACAGTAGATATGCGGTCCACCCATTATCAGGAAAAGAGTCACCTACAGATGTCCACAGTGATAGAAGAAACTATTAAACAAAGGGAATCTGGGGAATCAAATTCAATACCGAGGCAGGCTGGCTAAATTCACTCCGTCATACATAACTGTTGAAATTTTTTTAAACGATTAGAGTTTTGCCTCAATTATGTGCGTGTGTCCATCCCATGAATTCACGTTAATGTGTAAGGGGATTCTCGGAAAATTGCAAGTGCTATGCAAACTAAAAAGTACTATTATGATTATTTTGATATAGGAATCCAATGTCAGCTTGAGCACTACTTCTCAGGTCAGCAACAATGCCTTTAAGAAAGTGCTAATGCCAGGTAATAAAATGGTACAACATTATCCTAGAATGTCATGCTTGCCTTCCATTATTCTAACCTAGGGGACCGTTCAATTCTTAGCTTCTCAAATTTGGAAAAGAAACCCATTTGCAAAGACTTCCAGTATGAAATCATTTCCAGCGCCGCATGAGCCACTCCCTGGACACCAAGGAGAGATTCCCTTTAAACAGTTTTACACTGCACACATGAGGTATTTTCACGGTCTGGACCACAAAGTCCAGTTGGATGCCACTGATAGAATTTGAGAAGGGAATGAGCCCTGGGATAGGCATGCAGGACAGGAGAGTGGCTTTGAGCCTGTCGTGGGCTAGCACGGTGACCTCTAAATTCCTCTCAAGCAACAGTTCTCCAAATGACCTCCCTTCTCCTTCCCCTGTGCCATCGTATAGGCAATTTCCTCAGTCATCCAGACGCCTATATGGGCACCATTCTGAGTCCTCGGGTCTTCTATTCCCCGTATATGATCAGACATCACTTGCTTCCATTCTCCCTGAGAGCATTCTCCTATCAGTTCTGTCATGAGCCTCATTGTTCACTGGCTTCTTATGGCCTGACAGCTTTAATCTGAACACTCAGAATGGAAGACTTCTCAAAACAGAGGTGCTGCTCACCTCAGTTCTGTTTTAGCTTCTGAAGCTGCATTCTTCCCACTGTCACCTTCTGCCCAACCACCCATACCCTCTCACGGAAATGCTCTGTAGTGGTTTCAAAACCTTAGTGACTTCATACAAATTTAGTGTCTTCCAGTTCTGGAGGAGGGAAGCCCGAGGGGGTCTTACTGGACTAAAACCAAGGTGTCTACCGGGCTGAGTTCCTTCTGGAAGCTCTAAGGGAGAATTCTTTTCCTTGGCCCTTCCAGCTTTCATAGGCTGGAAGGCCCTTTCCTTGGCTCCCAGTCCCCTCTTCCATCTTTAAAGCCAGCAATGCGGCTCCAATCCTTCTCATGTTACCACCTCTATCCTTTTTCTCGGCTGTCTCCCTCTTCCATTTTTAAGGACCTTGTGATTACATTGGGCCCATCTGGGTAATCTAGATTAGTCTCCCTATTCTAACGTCAGATGCTTAGGAAACGTAATTTCCCTCTCAGCATAGGCTAATTTATTGACATGTTCTGGGAATTAGGACATACCCGTCTCAGGGGGAAAGTGTCTTCTGTCTATCACATGCTCTATGCTGTTCTCTGTCTCCCACATTTTCAGAAATGCTTTTATTATCTATGCCTCCTTTTGCAAAGATCTCAGCAACAATTAGTTGAATATCGTTGCTAGAAACCCCATGCTTAAATTAAGTAAGACTACTACTTGCAGATTATATACTGAGAGAGGTCTGGATTTATATTTTTAGGGTATGACACCGAATGATCTCATCTACATGCACTGTGCATTTTAAAGCACACTGGTAACCACCCCGGAATTCCTGATAAAACACAGACCATCTTTCTTTTTTTTTTTTTTTTTAAAGATTTTATTTATTTATTCTTGAGAGACACAGAGAGAGGCCGAGACACAAGCACAGGGAGGAGCAGGCCCCATGCAGGGAGCCCGATGCGGGTCCCGATGTGGGACCCGATCCCGTGACTCCAGGATCACGACCTGGCCCTAAGGCAAGCGCTAAACCGCTGAGCCACCCAGAGATGCAAATCCTTGGACCGCAGCATAGACCCGATCCGTCAGAAACTCTGGAAGCGAGATTCAGCAACCTGTTTTAATAGGTCTCCCAGGTGAGCCTGAATCATGGCTAAGATCGAGCACTACTCTCGTAAACCAGATGAAGTCCACTAACGACCACCGGTCTACGTGGCCACCTGTGCTGGTGGGGTCTCTCACCCCCGGCCTACAGGTCGATGCCCAGTGCACGCCCGCCTGCCTGCCGCCTGCGTGCTCCCTCCCGCTACTCCCAGCGCCGTGAACAGCGCAGCGATGCGCAGTATTCGGCGCCTGTGCGCTTCACAGGACCTTCCTTATTCCTTAGGGTGTCAGGTGAGACGAGAGGACAGTCTGTCCGTTAAGCGCCTCAAGCAAGCAGTCGCAACCACTGTTCGACGGCGCCAGCGTGACGTCTAGGGAGGCCGATGCTCAAAATGAGCTTGACGGCGCATGGTGTCCTCCGGGGGGACAAGGTGAGGAGCAGCTTCGGAGCACGCAGCGGCTCTCCTCGGCGGCAGCTCACGTCGCTACAGTAACAGGGGAATGAATCCTGCCTGTGGGCCGACAGGCCAGCCTCCTGCAAAACAAACCTCAATCGTCCAAGCGGCTACGGGAAGCGACGGTGCGCGGGAGACGCAGAGGACGACCGGGCGAGGAGGGCTGCCTGCTGCTGGGCGTGCTCGCCTCACTCCTCGCCTCGCGCCCTTCCCCCGGCGTCTCTCTTCGGGAGCCTCCTCCTCCGGCGCCCGCAGCCGGCCGCGCTCGGGGTCAGAAGCGGCCGCGAGGTCCGCTCGGAGCGGAACGGGTCGCCCGGCCGGGAGGGCCGCGCGCGGAAACCTCACACCCGGGGCGGAGGCCCCCGCGCGGCGCGCACAGCCGGCCGGGCGGCCCCGGAAGCGCGGCCCCGGAAGCGCGGCCCCTTCCGCCCGGACTTGGGCCCGAGGCCCCGCCCCCTCCCGCGGCGCGCCGGGGAACGCTCGGCGCCGCGTGGACCGCGCAGGCGCGTGGCGAGCGCGTCCCGGCCAATGAGGTGCCAGAGCCACCGCGCGGGGCGGGCCTGCGTGGCCGGCCAATCGCGCGGCCGCGCCCCCGGATGTGGTTGCGGGTCCCGCGCCCCGCTCTGAGGTAGCGTGAGGCGGCGCACGTGGGGCCGCGGCCTGGAGCCGGGAGGAGGGGGGGCCGTGGGCTGGGCTCGGCGTCCTGCGTGTGGGCGCGGCGCGGAAGCGTCAGCCCTTTGGGTTTCGGGCGGGGGAGAAGTCGGCGTGGGCGTTTGTGCGGAACGACTCCCGCCGCAGGGTCGCCGCCGGCGCGTGTGGGGAGCCCGTCCCATGGTCCCTCCTCGGGCGAGTGGGGCAGTCGGACGCCGGCAGCATGAACCTCCTACCCAAAAGCTCGAAGGAGTTCGGCTCCGCTGACTATTGGGAGAAGTTCTTCCAGCAGCGAGGGAAGAAGGCTTTCGAGTGGTATGGAGGCTACCTGGAGCTGTGCGGGGTGCTGCACAAGTACATCAAGCCCCGGGAGAAGGTGAGCGCGGCCCGGCGTCCTGGGTGCGCTCGGACCCCGGGCACCGAGCAGGGCGTCCGCGCTGGGTGCGTGCTGGGGCCCGGGTTCTCCGCACCCCTCGGCTCAAAGGGAGGTAAACACGCCTGCTTCGAGGCTTTCAGGGAACAGACGTGCTGCCGCCAGCCCCTCCCCGAATTACTGATCTCCCTGGAAGAGGGCTCCTTTGGGAGTCCAGGCGGAGATGGCCTCCTGGAGCCGTGGTGGGTGGCTCTGTCCCCGTCCACCCCTGTAGGGCAGATAGTGCCTGCGGCTGCACGGAATCGGGAGCCCGTTCTCGGAACTGGGGTGGCCGGCCTCCTGTTAGTATTTGCCTAACCTGGCAATTATAAGATTGTTATTAGATTTAATCTGCAAGTCCAAGTTTAGTAATTCGCAAGAAGGAGGGAGTGACTTTTAGTTCTTCTCTAAAAGGGTTTGGAAATAAACTTCTGTGAGGGCCTTCTGTTTCTCAGTGCAATGGGCCTGAACTCTTCAGTTTAGTGTTGCCAGTGTTAGTTTTTGCCACTTTTCGTCTTGTGAGTCTTTGGTATCCTGTGGTATATGTTAAATGTTTAGAGACCATGTTGTCAGAGGGCAAAAAAGACCCTATATGTACTGCTTGCCAATTTTTGTGGCAAAAAAAATAGCCACCACAGGCAGATTTCAAAATATTAACGTGTCAGCCACGTCACAATTTTTGTGTATATTTGCAGTTGAGTTCTCAAGTCGGATCAAGCTCGTTACAGCACAGTGATGCTTTTATGGTTCGATTTCCACAGACTACAGTGCTAAGCATAGGACCTCATCATCTCTCTCTCTCTCTCTCTCCTTTAGCCCAGAAAAAACGGGAAAAGGACAGGAAAAAGCAGCGGGCTGCTAACACTCCCGAGGGCCTCTCAGCAGCCCCAGGGGAGTCCATTGACAAGAGTTACTGTGCTGTGAACACCACAAAGCAATGATTGCCGGCCTTGCCCTGCTGAGAAACCCGGAGCTGCTCTTAGGTGAGGGAAGTGCCCCTGCCCTCCACAGGAGGGGCCTGTAAGATTGCAGATGGATGCCGTGTCAGCTGGCTTGTGCTTTGAGCACAGGGATTAGAGACCAACAAATGCTCATACAGCAAAGCTTTCTTATTCCCAGCCATCTCCCAAGTTAATTTATTTTTTTTTTAATTTTTTTTATTTATGATAGTCACAGAGAGAGAGAGGCAGAGACATAGGCAGAGGGAGAAGCAGGCTCCATGCACCGGGAGCCCGACGTGGGATTTGATCCCGGGTCTCCAGGATCTCGCCCTGGGCCAAAGGCAGGTGCCAAACCGCTGCGCCACCCAGGGACCCCTCCCAAGTTAATTTAATAAACATTCAGTAACCTTTCCCTCAACTCTAATTGTGGTCTTGAAATGGCTGCATGTGTGGATGTCTAAATTTTTTGTTTATTCATTTATTTAAAATATTAAGGTATAAAATATATTCAATGAGACACAAAGTACACAGATTTTAAGTTGTTCAGTTTGATGAGTGTCTGCTTATGAGTCTACCCATGAAACCAGATTAACCTTTACAAATCATGACTCCAAAAATGCCTTTGCATTTTAGAAGAATTTCTGGCTTTTCAGTCATGTGTTATAATTTGAGCACCAGATGCAATTCTTACTTGAATTTCTACTTAAATAAAAAAACCTATATTGTAGGCAGTACAGTCTTAGCCTTATTACTAAAACAGGCTTGGCTCCAACTACACTAGTAAAAAATACTCATTTTTCTATCTAAGCTTGTAGCTGTTCACCTGAAGTCCTGAGTGTGTCTTACTGAAACACCCTGTATTTTTGGCCTGTATAGGTGCTGATGTATGTCCCTAAAGTCTCCGTTCTTAGGTTTAATCCTCAGGTATTAATCCAATATTTAGTGTCTCCTTTGGGTGATTCTTGTTTCTTGACTTCTATCTTCCTGTGGTAGCTGAGGTTTCTCTGTACTTACAGCTAGGATTTGGGCCTTTGTTTTCCTGTGATTTCTGGAACTCACTCACATGGATTGCTGTCGCTAGGCTATGTGTCTGAGAGGGCAGTTGTGGCCTTTGGATTGAAAGCTGGGCAGAGGGCATTGCATCTCCACTGCCTTGTGATCTTGAGAGAGATGTTGGCTATCATCCCTCCGAGTTACTAGGGGGAATCTAATAATGCTTATGTTAGGGATGGTGATACGATGTCAGCTGAGTGCTTGGGGATCATTAAAGGTCTGTAATAGTAACACACTGGTTCAGCTTCTGGATCTAGTAGAGAAAGGATTGTGTAACCAGGGGTGAGTTTTCAGATGTCAGATTGGCTTCTACATTTCTGGGATGAGACAGAGAAGCTAGGCCTCTAAACTGTGTGTCCCCTGGGCAGAGCCAGTAATCCAACTTCCTCCTTTCCCCTCCCCAAGGATGGTATAAAACTGTCAGCGAGCAGATTGTCAAATGATACTTTATTCTTTTATTGCAGAGACCCCCCTGGCAATGTTGGTGGTAGGCCTGGGTGGGGGCAGCCTCCCCCTGTTTGTCCACGATCATTTCCCGAAGTCCTGCATTGATGCTGTGGAGATCGACCCCTCCATGTTGGACGTGGCCACCCAGTGGTTTGGCTTCTCCCAGAGCGAGCGGATGAAGGTCCATATTGCAGATGGCCTGGACTATATTACCAGCCTGGCGGGAAGAGAAGGTACTGCTATTGGAGACTTTGGAGGGGTGCTGAGGGAAGATTAATCCAAGGTTGTCAGGCCTGCAAGGGCCTCTAGAATTCATCTCTAAGACGGCAGCATTAGCATTGTCCCAGTCTTAGACCTGTAGATTTGTTCATTCCTTGGTTGATGTATTGATTCAGTGAATACAGGGTGCCGACCATGTGCTCAGCACTGTGCTAGGGGTTGGGCCACAGCAACAAGTGAAACAGTCCGTTTCTGCCCTTGTGGTGCTAACAGATCAGTGGGTCTTTCTCCTGATTCTTTTCTGACTCTGTGTTCTTGTCACTTCCTCATCCTCCCAAGAACCTAAGGTCTGTAGTGGGTGAGGAAAAGAGGAAGAAATGTTGGGATGTGTGTTGGGAATTTTTTTTTTTTTTTTCAGTCTTTCAGCTGGAGGTGAAGCCAGAGATAGAGCAAAACAGCATTCATATAGATCAGTGGTTGTAAAGCTGAGGAGCATCAGGCAGTGTCTGCAGATGTGTTTTTGGTGCTTGTAACTGCAGGGTGAGGGTACTTCTGACAGTGAGTAGAGACCAAAGATCCTGCTAAACACCCTACAGTGCACAGGACAGCCACCCATGACAAAGAATTATCTGGCCCCAAATGTCAGTAGTACTGAGGTTCAGGAACCCTGAGGCAGATGCTACTCCGTGGGGATGCTGATGGCCGTGCTGGTGCTGGAATTGAGACTCCATTTTGCTCTAATAATTCGTATCCCTGATTTATGACAAAAGACATACTAATGTTCTGCAACAGCTCTGTGATCCTTTTGCCACTTGATATGGAGGCTGAGGATGGTGCTTCCCGGAGCCTGAGCCCCTCAGGGAGAAGTCAGTCAGGTTGGTTCAGTCTTAAGTGGACCTGGCGACCTCAGGCCACCCACTCCTCCTGGTCTGCCTATTCCATCGCTGATACTCTGGTTCTCACTGGATTAGGGCATTCTCCCAGGAAAGGTGTGGCAAAGAAGGATGGCTGGGGTGAGTATCTTGGTGCTGGGGTGGACAGTTGGTGCAGAGATTTTAATTGCAAACTGAATTTAAGGATATCAGAGCTTCAGAGATTACCTCTGAGGCTGGGGCCAGTGTGGGGGCCCAGTCCCAACACAGCTAGTACATGTGAAACATTGAAAACTGCCCTAGGCTCATGGCAGGCTGTCAGTGCGTGACATGTTGCTGTATTGACAGCCAGTTGATGAGTTTTGAATAATCTGGCAGTCACCTCTAACAACCACCTTCCAGATCATTGGAGGGCTCCTACAAATGTGGGCAGTGGTTGTTCTTGGACTTTGATAAGCTGACATGTTGTGCTCTCTTAAGACAGCCAAACAAGATCTGTGCTATGCCCTGTTATGGGCATGCAGTAGTCCTAAGTCAGTATTTATGAATTCTTGAATAATTGGTATCATAGTCTCAAAGTTTGCTAAAAGTCAGTAACATTGTAGGCTTAAGCCTTGTAAAAACTTTTCATTATACCAAAGAGCACATCCAATGCAGCATCAGTTCTTTCTCATTTAGCAAAATCTTTCTTGAGCCAGCTATTGTTTGAGGACTAGAAAAGATACACTAACTAATTTGAGAACATTTTCTCCCACAGCCATTTGCAGAGTCAGCCCTTAAAGGCTTGGGCAGCTGATTTGCTGCCTAGCAGTAGTTCTCAACTTTGCCTGATTTGGGAATTACTTGGGAGTTTAAGGAAATACTAGAGGCTTCCTATCTCCTCTCTGACCTGTTCCTCCCATGCCAGGGTTTTTGACTCAGGTGGTCAGGAATGGAGCCCAGATTCTCAAAGTATTTTGAATATTCCCAGGTGACTAATGTTCTGCCTGGATTGAAAATTACTGGTATAAATGGACTGTTAACCAAGTAGTAATCATGCTAGCATGGACCCCATGAATGTGTGTGCCTTTGGAAGGTGCTTTTATTTATTTTTTCAATTAATTTTTTTTTAAGATTTCATTTATTCATGAGAGATACACACACAGAGAGAAAAAGAGAGGCAGAGACAGGCAGAGGGAGAAGCAGCCTACATGCAGGGAGCCCGACATGGGACTCGATCCCAGTTCTCCAGGATCAGGCCCTGGGCCGAAGGCGGTGCTAAACCGCTGAGCCACCTGGGCTGCCCCTGGAAGGTGCTTTTAAACGTGGAGGAAAAGATCAGATAAAGGTCCTGTCTTTCATGTGAGGCGCTCACAGCAGAACCCTGATTGACCACGACTTTCCTAGACAGCGCACTTAGTGCCCTTACAGGCAAACGACAGTCTCCATGTCATCCTTCTGACTTAGCCACCTGTGGCCACCACAGGTCACAGGGAATATGGGGAGTAGGAATGTAAATGGTGGTATCAAAGACTTGTTTGCTTCTCTTTCCCAGCACAGTCCTGCTACAGTGTCATCATGTTTGATGTAGACAGTAAGGACCTAACACTGGGCGTGAGTTGTCCACCACCAGCTTTTGTGGACCAGCCTTTCCTGCAGAAGGTCAAAAGCATCTTGACTCCGGAAGGTAGGATGTACAAAAGGTTAGGGAGGGAGGAGAGGTGAGTCCTTTCAAGATTGTTTTCTTTTAAATGAAAAATGCACATGTCATAAGTGTGTAGCTCGATGAACTTTCCTGAGTTGAAAACACCCATTGAACAGCATCAAACACAGAACATTTACAGCACCCCAGAAAGCCTACCTCTTAGCTCCTTCCAGTAACTCATCCTCCTCTTAAGGATAACTTCTATCCAAATTGTCAGTACAGCTTAGTTTTGCCCATTTTTGTTTTTTATATAAATATAATCTTACAGAATGTATTCTTTTTTTTTTTAATTTTTTTAAATTTTTTTATTTTTATTTATGTATGATAGTCACACACACACAGAGAGAGAGAGGCAGAGACACAGGCAGAGGGAGAAGCAGGCTCCATGCACTGGGAGCCCGATGTGGGATTCGATCCCGGGTCTCCAGGATCGCGCCCTGGGCCAAAGGCAGGCGCTAAACCGCTGCGCCACCCAGGGATCCCCAGAATGTATTCTTTGAGTGTTTTTTTCTTTCATTTGCATGATCTTTGTTTCATCCATAGTGTGTACATTGTTTCTTTATCGTGTGGTGTAGTATTGGTTGTGTGACCTACCACATTCATTTTTGCATTCTGTAATGGGTATTTGAAGTGTTTCCTTTTGGGGCTTTTATAAATAGTCCCTGCCAGTGGTGGTGAAGTTCAGACTCCTCCATGTCTGCCCCCAAAAGGAATCTCTACATTTGGAAAGATTGCTGCTTGCCATGAGCATGAGACACACATTCCTCCCAGCCCCTCAGAGCCTGCAACAATGACCTGGCCTTGATCGCGGTCCCTTCCTCCCACTCCCCTGACCTTCTGCAGTGTCTCAGCTGCAGTATCCACCCAGGTAGCCCACCCTGGGACCCTCCGGGCTTGGGGAGTTCTGGTTGGTCTCCAACTAGTTTCCCTGCTTCCAGTCCTGTAGGAGTCCACCAGCCCCCAACAAACCTTTTTCAGGGCACTATTTTCCATCCCACTGTGGACCTGCTGCTAGTGGGCCCCCGGCTTAACCAGTAATGAGGTCTCCTGGTGTGTCTTATCAATCACGGCCCCAAGTGGCGGTCTGGCCGTCCAGATGCCCTCCAGCTTTCCCTTAAGAGCGATTGTGCACACTGGAGGAGTTGGCATTTGGGATTTATCCACATGCTTTGTAGCCAGAACAGTGTGTTTCCTGGCGGCTTCTCCCAACACTTGCCCTCCTCCTGACCTCTGACTGCCCTGACTTGAGCAGCTGGTGTATATGCACAATGGGTCCTCTAGGCCTATGGATTTCTTGCTTATGTATTGTCACCTGCTGATCCTTGTGGGTGCAGGGATCCCAGGTTCCAAAAGGCCTTTGAGGCAGCAGCTACGTACAGGAGGCAGCCAGTCCCAAGTCAGACTGGCTGCCTGATGGGGTTACAGGCTTCTCCACCACTCAGTAGTGCCTCTTGTGTCTTACTGGAAGGTAGCACCACTGCTTAGTTGGGCCTTGGGTCTAGGCTCTAGCCCCAGCCCAGCCGGGCAGGCCACTTTTCACCAGCTCTGCCTTCTGGGGAAGTCTGAGCATTGATAGAGGATAAGGCTTGGAATGAGGCAGATGCCAAGGGCCCCAGATATCCCCCTTTCCTGAGCCAAACCTGTCTTGTCATTTTTATCCTCTTAGCTTTCACCTTCTATACATGGGCAGTCTGCAGCCTGTTAGCAAGTCTTGGTCTTCAGGGAACATCCCAGGCCCTAAAGTTCTGGATGATTCCTGGTGATTGAATGGACTCAGGGTGTGAAGAGCTTACACCCTGAAAAATATTTCTGAGCCTCCTTTTGTTATTGGGAACTTTTAAGTCCCCATTTAGACCAACTACTTGATTGGTTTCCTGGACTCTTCCAACAGTCAAGGCTTTTAGGTGTCTCTATTGGAGGTTATTCTTTGTGACTTAGTCATACCTGCCCTTGCTTGGAAGTCCAGATTTTTCTAGCTCTGCCTTCAGTGGGAATTTTCATATTTTGAATGTTTGTGCTTGAAATTAGGCAGATTTTCCACACATCTGAAAGCAGGCACCAGTCACTGGCCTCTGCAGGCACTTTCCCTGTACTGGGTGCCTGGTGAGGGCCCAGTGTGTGCTTTGTCATCCCAGGGACTGCAGCTGTAACTTTGCTGGCCTTTGAGCATCTTCGTGAAGAGAACCATGTGCTCAGCCTCCCAAGATGGTAGGATCCCACACCCTAGAAACCATTATGAGGTATCCACTTTTTTTTTTTTTTTTTTTTTTAAGGTATCCACTTTAAACTTGAAACATTTGGTTCATGTTTGGACTGACTGCATGATTAGGTTTCCTGCCTCTTTGGTAATCTGTGCTCTTTGATGTGTCCTTTTGGAGGATACCCAGGTCACCTCACCAGACACAGCCCTGACATAGAGTTTAGAGTTTTCCTGCTTTATCTTCAAGGGGAATGTTTACATTTTTTTGAAATTATGGCCTGGGATAGAGCAAATGTCAGTATCTCCAAATAGCCTTCTTCATTCTTCAACCTTGCTCACCAGACACTGCCTTGTTTTAGGTCTTTCCCTATTCTGAGTTTGTGCTATACTCTGACAGCTGGCCTTGGGCTGCCTGGCTACTCCAGGCCTTTGGAGCTTTGGCCAGATCTCAACCACCTGAATGTCATCAGGGTGAAGCAATCTCTCACCCAAAATATTTTAGCAGTGGATCTTTAAACTGGTAATAGTCCCATTTATATTTACTGTCTGATGGTATCCCAGGATCCTCCAGCAAGCAGGGCTCCTGGATATCTGTTATTGGAGGTTACCCAAGCCATCTTTTCTTGACAAGGAAGTCAGATTTTATATATTTTTTTCATGAGAGTCACAGAGAGAGAGGCAGAGACACAGGCAGAGGGAGAAGCAGGCTCCACATAGGGAGCCTGATGTGGAACTCGATCCCGTGACTATATTCCTCCAGTTTTACTTTTAGGAGTATGATACTCATTTGTGTAGGTTAAACTGTGTGATAGGCAGATGCCATGTGCCCCTGTTAGCCCAACCTGTGTCCTGTCCTTTCACGGCACTTAGTCTGTCCCAAGTTTCTGGCTTCCCTGACTTAAGCAACTTGTGCATGCTAAATACATATACCCTGTTTGCTGCCCTATGGCAGCTGGAACTCTCCAGGCCTATAGAGCTAGGGCCCATCTGCAACCACCTGCACTGAAGTGAACCCATCCACTGAAAATTATGTGGAGGCAGTTGCTGAAAAGGGTGGCTGTCAGTCCCTGCATAGACTGTCTGCTAGAGTCCCTGGCTTCTATGGCAGTCAGCATTCTCAGGTGCCTTCTATTGGAGGATATCCCCCCAATAACCCATCAGATTCAGCCCTGACAAGACAGTCCAGATTACTCTAGCTCTGCCTTTCAATGGTGGTATGCACATTTGTGTAGGTTAGGTTGGAATTAGGCAGATACCTCATAACCCCAAGAGTCCTTTCCTACAACTTGGTCTTTTGGACCCTTACCCTGTTCTAGGTTCCTGGCTACCTCAACCTTTGGTTCTGACACATGCATAGCATGTATATTAGGCAGCAGTGACCCTTAAGAGATGTGGGTCTGGGGCCCATCCAGAACCATCTGCATTACTGCAAGGAAGGGAGCCCACACACTGAAAATCTCTCTGAGGTAGCTGCTGAAATGAGTGTAAAGCAGACTCCCTGTGGAGTTGCTTTTTGAGGGAACCCCAGGCTTCTCTAAGGACTTAGACTCCCGGGTGTCTCTTAATGGAGGATACCCTGTTCTTCCTGTTCATGCCTCTCTGTCATGAGACAGTTGAAAAACTCCAGCTCTGCCATCAGGGGGGACATCCCACAATGTGTAGATGAGGCTTTGTGATTAGGCTGATATTTGTACCTCAAGGAGCCTGGTCCTGTGACCTGGCCTCTTCAGCACTTGATCCATTCCAGGTTTCTGGCTACCCTGACCTGCTTGGCCCATGGACATGCTGCCCACACTGTCAGCCTGTCTTGTGGATCTCTGGTCAAGTCCAACTACTACATAGCCTTCTGCATGGAGGAAACTCACCCACACCAAACCCTTCTTCGGGGGCAGCCACAAATGGGAAACAGGCCCCCATTTAGACTGGCTGCCTCCTGGGATCCCAGGTGTCTCTTACTGGAGGATATCCTGGCCAGACTGCTTAGGCACTCCATGGCAGGCCATTTGAATAACCTTTAGGTTATTCCTCATTGGGCTTGTAGGACTTTCAGTTAGGCATCAACCTTGTCCTCTAAAAGTTTGCTCCTGTGCTCTGTGTTTCCAGACCCTCATCCTATTGCAGATCCCTGGCTTCCCTGAATAGCACTGCATATGGTTGTGCCCTATGCACACATTCAGCACACTTTGGACAGTAGGGCCCTAGAGTCAAAGAGAGCTAGGACCAGACCCAACCAGCTGCATAGCCTTCAGGAAGGAAGGAGTCCATCCCCCAGTAATCACACTGAGGCAACAGATTGCTGATAAGTCCCTATTTGCACTTGATACCTGATCAGGCTCTGGCTTCTCTAGCAAGCAGGACTCCCAAATGTCTCATACTAGGACATTCCCAAGTGTCACACCTGCCAGACACCAGCCCATACTGACAAAAGGAATGCAGTATGCTCTAATTCTGTCTTTAGGGGCAATATGTGTATTTGTATAGCTTGAGACTTAAAATTAAGCTCATTCTTTGTTCTTTACACATCTACACTTGTGTCAGCCTCTTGCCCCATGCTACATTCCAGAAAGCTGACAACATATGTAGTCCTCAGCATATATATACACAGTACATACCCCTGTAGCAGGCTGTGGGTGGCTAAGGCTGACCTGGGGGACTTGGGGCCCCTGGCCACCTGCATGCTTCTAGTTTGGAGGGAGCCCACCCCCAGAAATCACTGAGGCAGCAGCTGCAAATTGGCAATAGTCAGTCCCCATTTGGACTTCCTTCTTGATCCAGTCCTGGGCTTCTTTTGCAACCAGGGCTTTCAGGTATCTCTTATTGGAGGATACGTGAGCTACCTGCCCAGCCCACTCTGGCAAGATAGTCCAGTATCCACCTCTGCCTTCATGAGGAATATGTATATTTGTGTAGGCTTGCAGTTATGCCCAAACCTTACTCCACAAAAGCTTGATCTCACCTTTCCAGGCTCTTACTCTGGTCAAGATCCCTGGCATCCTTAAATGCTCTGCACCCACAGTACATACCCCTTCAGCAGGCCTTGGGCAGCTAGAATTCTCCACACTGGGGAAGCTAGGTCCAGGTCCCAACCAACTGCCTGGCTACCTAAATGAAGAGAGCCTACATTCTGAAAAATCACTCTGAGTTAGCAGCTGCAAACAGGCAGCATTCATTCCTCATTAGACTTGCTGCCTGATTGGGCTGGGCTTTTCTAGCTTTCAGGGCTGCCAGGTGTCTCTTAATGGCCCTTTCCTAGCAAGTCAGTTGGGTGACCTTGAGCTCTACTATCAGAGGAAATTCCTCATTGGGTAACTCAGGGCTTGTGATTACGTATATGCTTTGATCTTCAAGACCTTGCTCTAACCATAGCCAGACTTCCCCTGGGGTCTCTTATTGGCGAATGCACCAGACAACAGTCTGACACAACCTGACAAGGCAGTCTAATATACTCCAGTTTGGGGGAATGTGGACATTTGGCAGGAAGGGCTAGCTATTAGGCAAAAGCCTGTCCCCAGAGTCTGTTCTGTGAACCAGCCTGTCCAGGTCCATGCCCAGTGGCCGCTTCAGAGTAATTTTAGGGGGCTGGGCTCCCCCCACCCTGAGACTGATTCACAGGAGCAGGCTCTTGGGGATACAAGGTTATCTGCCTAATTCTAAAACCTAACCTATACAAATGTCCATATTCCATTGGAGGAGTCATGATGGTTTTGCCAGATCAAGACTAGATAAATGGCCAGGGTATCCTCCAGTAAGAGACCCCTTGGGAGCCTTGATTGCTGGAGAAGCCTGGGACTTCACCAGGCAGCCAGTCCAAGTGGGGACTTATTGTCAGCACTTTAAAGCTGCCACCTCATAAAGATTTTTGAGCTGTGGGCCTCCTCCACCTTGAGTTGCCATCCAGTCTGAGCTCCCCTGGCAGACAAAGACCTGCTAACAGAAGGAGGACTGTGCATGCACAGATGGCACAGGTCAGGGGAACCAGGGATCTGGGAAAGGACAATGTCAGACAAGGCTGGGTGGCAAGATGGGGCTCTCAGGGGTACCTGGAATCTTCCTAATTCTGTGCCTTAACCTAAGCAAATGTGCTTAATTCCCCTGAAGGCAGAGGTAGAGGAATCAGGACTGCCTGGATCTGATTTAGGCACACTGGCCATTGTATGCTCCAAGAAGAGACGCCTGGGAACCTTGATTGTTTATAGAAACCCGGGACCCGATCTCACAGCCAGTCCACATGGAAACTGACTGTAGCTCATTTCAGCTTCTGCCTCACAGCGATTTTGGGAGTAGGGTGGGTTTCATCCACATTTGAAGGAATGCAGGTGTTGAGGATTGCCCCTTGCTCCACAGGCCTTGAGGGCCCGAGATGCCCATAGGTGGCTGACTGATTTCCTACTGTGGAGGTACAGAGTTCAGGGTAGCCAGGTACCTGGAACAGGACAAGTGTACAGAGAGGTCAGGTAACAGTATAGGCTCCTTAGGGTTCAAGGTGCATGCTGAATTGTGGGCCCTACCTTCCCTATGAGGAATATCCTCTAAAGGCAGGCTGGAAGAATCTGGGCTGCTTTGCCACGGTGGGGAGAGGGCGGCTGGCCAGAGTATACTCTAATTAGAGACACCTAGTAGCCTTAATTATTGGTGAAGCCTAGAATCCAATTCAGCAAGTCCAAATGGGGACTGACGTCACCAATTTAAATCAGTCTCCATTTTGACTTGCTGCTTGATTGAGTCTTGGGTTTCTCTTTTTTTTTTTTATATTATAGTCACAGAGAGAGAGAGAGAGAGAGAGAGAGAGGCAGAGACACAGGCAGAGGGAGAAGCAGGCTCCATGCACCGGGAGCCCAACATGGGATTCGATCCCAGGTCTCCAGGATCACGCCCTGGGCCAAAGGCAGGCGCCAAACCACTGCGCCACCCAGGGATCCCTGGGTTTCTCCTCTTGAAAGGTACCTCTGCAAGTCTCCCCAGCCCCTTCGTAGGAAGGCAGTTGAGTACTCTGGACCTTTGCCTTCAGGAGGGAATATTACCATTGAGCAGGTTACCGCTAGAGGTTAGACATATGTATTGACCTCTCCCTCCCCACCTTCACCTGCCTCTGCCCCCACTGCCCTGCTCCCATGACCTGGCTCTTCAGAGCCTTGCCCTCTTCCAGATTCCTATCACCTCTGAACTGCACTTCATGTGCATGTTGCAAGCACCCCTGTAGCAGGCCTTAGGAAGCTGGATCCCTTATAAGGGTTTTCAAAGATGTTGATAATTCAGAACTCTTGCACACTGTTGGTGGGAACATAAAATGTGGCAGCCACTATGGAAAACAATAGGGGTTCCTCAAAAAATTAATGATAGAATTACCCTATAATCAAGGTCCCATTTCTGGGTATATATCCTAAAGAATTGAAAGCAGTATCTCAAAGAGGTATTTGCACACCCATGTTCATAGCAGTACTATTCGCAATAGCTAAGAGATGGGGCAGCCCAAAAAAACACTGATGGATGAATGCATAACGAAAATGCAGTCTATACATATAGTAGAATGCTAATCAACCTTTATTTTTTTTAAATTCTTTAAAAAGAATGAGATCTTGACATATGTACGGTATAACAGGGATAATCCTTGACGATATTGTGCTAAGTGAAATGCCAGTCACAAAAAGACAAATACCATATGATTCCACTTGTATGGGGTATCCGAAGTAGTCAAGGTCATAGGAATAGAAAGTGGAGTTGTCATTGCCCAGGTTTTGGGAGAGGGTAAAATGGGAAGTTGTTCAATAGCTAAGGGGTTTCGGTTTTATATGAAAAAGCTCTAGAGATCTGTTGCACAATAATATGGATATTGCCAACATGAGTGAATTATGCACTTTAAAATGGTTAAGACGGAGGGTACCTGGCTGGCTCAGTGGGTAGAGCATGTGACTCTTGATCCCAGGGTTGTGAGTTTGAGCCCCACACTGGATGCAGAGTTTACTTAAAAATTTTTTTAAAAATAGGGATCCCTGGGTAGCTCAGCTGTTTGGCGCCTGCCTTCTGCTCAGGGAGTGATCCTGGAGTCCTGGCGTCGAGTCCCACATCAGGCTCCCTGCATGGAGCCTGCTTCTCCCTCTGCCTATGTCTCTACCTCACGCTCTCTCTGTGTATCTCATGAATAAATAAATCTTTAAAAAATAAAAATAAAAAAATAATAAAAATCAGGAAATTTAAAAATACATATTTTTAAAATGCTAAACATCCCTGTGCCTAACAGCCTTTATTCCTGCTGTTCTTCTGGCCTGGAATACTCTTTCTCTTGCTTTTTTTCATGACTGTTTCCTTCTATACTTCTGATTTTAGCCTAAATGTTACCTCCCCAGAGACATCCTAGATTCTGACAACCCCATCTTTTCAGATAGGTTCGCCTTGAATCTCATTCTCAGCCATTTGTTTGTTCTTTTCTGAACAACATATATCTGCCTTTCTTTCCTGCTGTATTTTTTTTAAGACTTTATTCATGAGAGAGGCAGAGACACAGGCAGAGGGAGAAGCAGGCTCCCTGTGGGGGAGCCCAGTGTGGGACTCAATCCCAGGACCCAGTATCACAACCTGAGCTGAAGGCAGATGCTCAACCACTGAGCCCGCCCAGGTGCCCCATCCAGCTGTATTATAAAGTCTGAAGACAGTAACTATGCTTATGTTTAAGGCAAACACCTAGTTTAGTAAGAGATATACAATAAATGTCTAGTATACTTTTTTGTGAGTGAACAAATGAGTCTGCATAAACTGGGAATAATAACATTTGCCTCATGATGTTGCTATGAGAATCAGGTGCAGTAACATATATGGCAGAGGACCTGGCACATAATAAGAACTCTAGTTTTAGGAACAGACATTTTTATTGTACTGGATAACCTTTCAAGTCCAATCCAACTCCACAATTCTCAGAAATGGTACAAGGGTCCTTTGCAGAGCAGAGCTATGTGCATGTTAGTAAGCAAAATACCAGTGTTCTAGTTAGTAAGAGCAACCATACCAACAAGCAGGACCTTTCATGCCTGGGACAGATTGGTACAGAAGTATTTGTTTATTCTTTGCTCAGAACTTCCAGTACCCTTGGGGCTATCCATGCCTTATAGAAGAGGATGGAATGCTTAAAGCAGGAGTTCCAAATCTGGGGACTATTGAGGACCTGTGGTTAGAATTCAGAGGGTCTGTGAACTTGGATGGGAAAAAAATTACATCTTTATCTTCACTAAATTCTAGCAGAAATTTAGCATTTCCTTCAACTATAAATGGAGACCCCTCTCCACAAAAAAAAAAAAAAAAGTCAGTAGTAGTAGCTGTACCTGTGATTTTATTACCAATTGGAATCACTAAGATTTTTGTATCACATTGCATTTATAGATACCTTGAAATATTGTTTACACTCCTTACTAATTCAAAATCATGGTAGATGTTAGGTCTGACATTAGATTTTGTTATTTAATGAGTTAATAAAAGCACATATCTTAGTGGTATCTTGTTTTTAAAATACTTTATAACATTATAAGTTGCCTTCCTTTGCAGTTCTGTATATTTTATTTTGATGCATTTAGAAATGTTATTCACCTAGACTTCACCAGATTGGCAGAGGTTCTTGGTACACAATGCTTGTCCCTGAACAGGAGTGTTGTGAAGGTTTCTTCATGTTCCTGACGATTTTTACTATACTTTTGATACTGTCTTGAATCTACCTAAAGAATAAACCAGAAAGGCCGGCATGGTCCTTAGAGAAGACCTGACTACATTCTTTTAAAAACAATATTGTTAGAGAAAGATTTATTATTAAAAAAAAAGATTTATAATATTTCACTTCAAGTTTTCATGCTCTGAAGAAAGTTTATTTTTTTTTATTTTTATTTTTTAATTTTTTTTTAATTTTTTTTTTATTTATTTATGATAGGCACACAGTGAGAGAGAGAGGCAGAGACACAGGCAGAGGGAGAAGCAGGCTCCATGCACCGGGAGCCCGACGTGGGATTCGATCCCAGGTCTCCAGGATCGCGCCCTGGGCCAAAGGCAGGCGCTAAACCGCCACGCCACCCAGGGATCCCCTCTGAAGAAAGTTTAAAATATATCTATTGAAGATGCACATAGCATCTTCATGATGATGAAATCATTCCATTCCTTTTAAACAACTGCCCGTATATACTTGTGCCCATAGCATGTAAAGCAGAGAACTATGATTTGTGGTATCACTTCAGCTCAGTGAAGTGTGACTCAACTTTTCATGGATTGTGTCTTAAGCTTTGAAACGATGTGAGCAGTAATGCAGAATCTTCTTTGCTTAAAAAAGAAAAAAAAAGATTATAAATGAAAAAATAGAAATATTCACAACTCTAATAAAGGAAAATAGGAATGATAAATGTGTATATATCACACATATAAAGGTTTAGATACAGCATATATATATATAGAGGAGAGAAATAAAAAGTAAAAGTAGATTCTTATTATTTTTCAACTGAATCTTTAATATATGGCAAAGGGGGAGCTCATTCAAGTATCTCTGATTAAATATGCCTTCATTGCCAGAAGAAACCAGGATCCTCTTCTCACGCTTGCTCACCCTCGGGTCAGAGCCTATGAAGAGTAATGAGTTCTGATTACCAAAGTGTATCTGAGAGGACCTAGGAAACTCTTTTAGAAAACTCTCTCTTTTCTTGCATAATCACTGGCAAATGAGTTTATCCCTTTTCAGTACTTTTAAAAGTGGCTTATATATAATTCCACTTTCAGGTATGATGGAGTAAATTGACACAGCATGATCCCTCTAAAAATAAATAGAAAAGCCAGAAACATCTCTATAAAGCAATCAGAGAACTGTTTAAGTGAAGCAATAGAACTGGAAGGGCCAAGATTCCAGAGAAGGAACTGCAAAAAGATGAGCTGACCTCTTCCAGCTGCTTTTTCCCTGGAGGCATTCTGGGTACAAGGAAAGATCACTGAGCAGCTGGCCTTTGCCTAGGCCAAGGACCATTGTTGGGGAACAAGATAATCAGTCAAACCAGTTATACTGCCTTTGGGTCTCCAAGGACTGGAAAGACAAAACTGCAGTCTTAAAGGGCCAGGGTCTCAGGAATAAGGGAAATAGTGGGGAGTTGGGGGACTCGGATAGTTTTCTCCTCAAAATGTTGCTGAATTCTAAAATTATTTTGGGGTAGGAGGCCGAAATGATAAAAACAACTGTTTTTCAGAGGCTTTTTGCTTCTCATCTTTATCAGCAGAGATGAGAGTGAATCTTCTTTCAAGAAGGATACTATCACAGATACAATCAGTATTTCTTACACAATAATTTATAGTTAATTTTTAATATGAGTTTTATGACCAAAAACCAAGAGAAAAGTAGACAATAGAAGCCAGCCCATAGGGTAATCCAGGATTAGGTAAAAGACAAGGACTCTGATTAAAATGTTCAAAAAAATAGACAAAACATGGATAATTTCACCAGAGAATTAGAATCTGTTTTTTTATGGAAATTCTGGAACCAAAAATCCAATAACTGAAGTTAAGAGTAGCCTAGGAAATCAGGAAGCAGATGGGGAGATGTGTCTGTGCACATGAATGCTGATGTTGACTCAGGACATGCCTTAGTTGCATCCCTGGAGCCCTATTGTCGGTGCCACAACCTTAAGATCTAGTGCGGACTCAAAGGATTTGTATGCACATTTTTAAAAAAACAAGATTTTAAAATGTAAGTTCATACATTTGTCTTCGAGAGTATTCTCTCAGGGGACACCTGGGTGGCTCAGCAGTTGGGCATTTGCCCAGGATAC